TTATAAATCAATGAATGCGTGACAGATTCATCAGATATTCTGAAAACATTTCGGAAAGAAATACCAATTAGATGTTGAAGAAGTAAAAGTATTTAGTTTTAAATGTTTTGAGTGCTAGTATTCTGTTTATCCTCCTGATCGTCTAAAGTAGATCATGTCATTCAATGTTATGCTGTAACATGTATGTAACTGCATGTATAAATCATTTCTTTTTGATCCGAATTTAATATAAATACTCTATTGTAGCATTAAATATGTTTTAAACACACGCCAAGAATACACATTTAGGGTTAGGCTGGTCTTATTCTTATTAAGGTAAATGGATTTACATTAACTCATTTTCTGATTTATTTAAAAATGGGTATATAATGCACGTCGTAAGTGAATATAAGTAACATAATAACCTATTCTCTGTTGAAACCACGAAAATAAACCAATAATTACGAAGAGTTTGTTATTTAGTCATTAAACACAAAGCTACACAATAGGCTATTTGTGCTGTGCCCAATTCCGGTATCAAAACCCGATATCGATTTAACTGTCTTAGGTTCAGAGGGACTTACCGCTGAGCCACTGGAGGGGGCAGTTACGAAGCGATAAATGCCTTTTTTTGTGTCTAAAACTTGCTTATAAGACTTATGTCTGTTGTTATTGTTCTAACACAAATTTCTACAATGGGATAGTTTTGATGTGTTTTTCTTCGGGATTGAACCCTGAATTGTAGCGTTATAAACTCCGGAGCTAACCTCTGAGCCACCAGAGGACTTAGCCTGATAGATTTATAAATTTAAAGTACTAAATCATTTTTAGAATAACCATTCACCTTAATCGACCTACAAACGCAAACACAAAAAAGGCTTACAAATATAAAAACTAGATAAACATGCTTAAAACTACAAAAACAAAACAAAAAACGAGGTCCTCCTTCAAACGCAAACATATCAAATGATTTCTGTGCATAGAATAATCCCATAGAAAATAATAATAACTAACCTACCCAAACATTTATTGAGCCTTGAAACCACAATACAACCCAATAAGCATTACAAACAGGAAAACACAATTTATGTGTCCTATTTTTATCAATAGACAATAACTATGTGCGTTGCAGAAAAACCAACTTACTGCCTTATATATATATATATATATATATATATATTATTTGTACAACTCCTTAATTGAACACTGGGAAATGGCATTAAAGATTAAAGTAGTTGCGAGGAAAAAAAGAGACGATTTTGTATTTATTACAATTCTACTAAGCCTATCTTCCACAGGTTTTGGACTTCTGACCAAAGGGAAGACAGCCAGTCAGCTGCACCCTACTACCTATCATTCACGATAACTGATCGACTTCCGCTCTTATAATGCGCCCACAGCTTAAAGTGCGGGAAAAACCTTCCTCCCGCCAACATCTACACTTAGGGGTGCTATTAGATCTTGTAGTATTTGTTACATAAGTCGTATAGTTTCAATAGTTCTAAAATATAAATAAAACTATTCTCTCTCTCTCTTCCACGTCAACACATTTTAGACTGCTGGTTGGTGGCGCTAGCCAATATATTTATAGCCATGACTAAGAGAGGCTTTTATATCATAATTTTTGTTTATGAATAATTTATCATAATAGTTCTTGTTTATAAGTAAATGAAAAACGTTTCATCCGTGATGTAATACCATCTCACATTTTAGTAGTTCAAGAGTCGTTTGTGTGTTATAGTAGCAGATGCTCGTTCAAACAATTCAATGGTCTTTTCCCTAAAAATAGTGATGAATAAATATAAAACGTGCAGTCAACCCAATTTCTTGGATCAGAGCGTATATGCAATATGATTGGCTAGTGACCAGGTTACAACTGATTTTTGTCATTTCATGTGTTATTTTAATAAGAAAAATTGCATTGCGTTTGTTTTAAGCAAAGGAGACCGACTGGAATGAATTTTGGCCAAAATT